CGGCCGCTGCACTGGGGGGTTCAGCCGCAGCCGGAGCCCGCCCTGGAGGCCAGGCACTTCGGGTGCCAGCTGGGCCCAGTCGCCAAAGGTAGGGCAGGTGATGGTGAGCTTGGGCGGGTCTGCAGATGGGGGTGCAGAAGCCAGGAGATCCCGGATCTGCAGAGGGGGGGAGTGGTTAAAGGGCCACCTGGAGCCAGGCAACACCCAGTACCTTGGGAAAACTGAGCAAGGACACCACTGTCCTGCCCCTGGGGTTGTGAGGGTCACTTGTCACCCTCAAGACAAAACCCAGGCCTCCCGCAGTCCTTTCTCACCCTGCTCCCCTACCCCCTCCCGCCTCTCTCACTCTCCTTGCCTCAGGGCCTTTGCACTCGCTGTTCCCTCCAGGGAGGTCTTCCCTGCCCTCTCACTGGTTCTTCTCTTACCGTGGTTACATCACTCACTACAATGTGAACATACAGTTTTCGGAGTTTTTTTTGCTCATATGCCCCACCCAGACTAAGGATTCCAGAAGGGAACTGGGTGGCACTTGAGGCCTCCGGGATGCCTGTTATCCACAGGCACCCTCTTGAACCTCACACTGTAGTGGGTGATGGGACCACACCCCGACAACAAGCGGGATACCTGTCACTGTCATTCTTCCAGAGGAGGGGATGGGGCTCCAGACAGCAAGTCACGGGGGCCACACAGCCCAATGGGAACAAGCCAGGATGCAGAGCTGGGGGAGGCAAGGTGGGGAGGAGGCAGCTTACCTCTTTGTCCCTCAGAACCTGAAGGAAGTGGCGGGGTGAGAAGCCCCCAGTCTGGAGCAGCAGCTCCCCTGTCTCCTCCAGGCAGGGCCCAGCCAGCACCAGAAGCTTGTGAGGGGCAGGGTCTAGGAGAAGGTTCCGGAGCTGAGGGAGGGGAAGACTGTTAAGGCCCTATTCTGCACAGTGACATAACCAGCACTCCCCATGGGTGACCACCACCCCTAAATCTATGTCCTCCTCACCCCCCAGACTCCTGCTCATTCTACAAAGCCTGGCTCCAGTGCCACCTCCTCCTGGAAGCCCTCTGCACCCTTTCAGGGCTCCCTCAAGCCCACCTCTCCCCATGGTCCAGCCCCAAAGCCATGAGCTAGCTGTTTCCTAGAGGGAGCATTTTTGATTAAAGGCCTACAAAGCCTGGCTCCAGTGCTGCCTCCTCCTGGAAGCCCTCTATACCCTTTCGGGGCTCCCTCAAGCCCACCTCTCCCATGGTCCAGCCCCAAAGCCATGGGCTAGCTGTTTCCTAGAGGGAGCATTTTTGATTAAAGGAATCAACCTGTGCGAGGGTCTCTACAGGAGTGCCCTGGGCTCTATCTTGTACATCTCCTCCTAGCTACTGGGGAGAAGGATACAGACACCCACGAGCTAGACCAGTGACGGCGAACCTATGACACGCGAACTCATTTTTTTGGTTGATTTTTCTTTGTTAAATGGCATTTAAATATATAAAATAAATATCAAAAATATAAGTCTTTGTTTTACTATGGTTGCAAATATCAAAAAATTTCTATATGTGACACGGCACCAGAGTTAAGTTAGGGTTTTTCAAAATGCTGACACGCCGAGCTCAAAAGGTTCGCCATCACTGAGCTAGACGTACTAAGAAATCACTTCAGACGACTACTAGGGCCCAGCCAGAGGGAACCAAAGTGCAAACATCAATCAGGCCCTGCCTTCCCACTCCCCGCCTCCAGACCCTCCCTCTCCCATTCCTTCCTCCCAAACTCCAGCCTTCTGACCCCACCTGCTCCCACCATCACCCATGCGGAGAGGATAAATTAGAGCTGGAGCCATGGGGGTGGGGAAGGCTTCCGAGGGGCGAGGGCCCTGCTGCTGGGTGCTGGGAAGAGGACTTCAGGCAGCACGAAGTCAAGGACACAGGGGATCAGGATGGGGGATGGTGTCAGTCCGCAGCCCATGCCCCCCAGGAGCTGACCGGTCCCTACCTCATCACATAGGGACTTGTCTGACGGGTTCACGAGGACCAGGATATCCAGGGCGTCTCCTCGGAGGTGCAGGCTGCGCTGGCCTGCGTGGGAATTGGACCCTGTGAGTTTGGAGCTGGGCCACGTGCGCAGAGTCAGGCTATCCGGGGTCAACCCTGCCTCCCTGTGTGACCCCAGGCAGCCACATGTCCCTCCAGGATCTGTTTCCAGGAATCCCAGCCCGGCAGAACTGGTCTACATGGTGGTGCCACAGGTCAGGATGAGGCAAGAACAGGAAGCCTGCCTCAGCGGGCCTCCCACTGGAAACAGCAGGGACAAGGCCACCGCTGCTTATGAGGCCCAATTCCCAGCTGTCAGCTGTGGGGGATGCCATCGTCACCCCCATTTTATAGACAAGGAGCCGAGCCCAGGGAGGGTCATGAGGGAACATGGACCCTGAGGCAGGACAATAGGAGGATGGGGAAGTGGCAATTGGGGCTGGAATGAGGGGCAACAGGGGGGAGTCGGACAGGGAAGCCTCATGAGCCGAGAGAGAGGAGTGGGGTTAATTCCAGGATTCCAACCCTAAACTGCCCCATGGAGTCCAGATGTGCTTCCCGAGGACAGGGAAGCCAAGAGAGAGGAGTGGGGTTAATTCTGGGATCCCAACCCTAAACTGCCCCATGGAGTCCAGATGTGCTTCCAATATGGAGCATCCGGCCCGGAGGGGAGAGAGGCAAGGAGCCTCCAGGGTCACACACGTGGCTATTGCCTCATTCAGGCGGGGACACCAAGGCACAGAGAGGGGAAGGGGCCCCTGAGGTCGCACAGGGCCAGCAGGATTTCCACTCCCCCCTTCCCACGAGGGGTCAGGAAGCCACCAGCACCGCTGGGACAATGAGACTACGAGTCACTTCCTTCCCCTCCCATAGCAGCCTGGAGGTGACTCAAGGGGCTGGCTGCAGGGCCGGCTGAGGTGGGGAAGCTACAGGCAACACCAGGCCCGACCAGCAGCTGGGCCGTTGACCTGCAATCACCACAGGATCTCCAAGGAGCCACAGGCTCTGTGGGTCTTGCTCAAGCATCTCAACTCCCTCCTGGCCCCTGCTCCTTTATCGGCTCCGCAGCTACCGAGTACCCACTATATACCCGACCCAGTGCAGGGGTCTCAGGCACGAACCAGACGCATTCTCTGCCACACGAAGCCCACAAACCACCCTCCAGGCCTGCCCGGCAGCCCCTCACTTTCCAAATGTCTTGTCCCTTTGCCAGGGCCCTTCCCTCCACCCGGCACAGCAGCCCCAGATGCGTCTCCTCTAAAGCCCCTCGTCAGAGGTCTCCCGGCCCCCCGCACCTCAGCTGCCTCATCTGTCAAATGGGAACAGAAGCACAAGTACCTGCCCCGTGGGCTGTTGAGGACCAAGGTATAGAGACGTCTGGACCAGGACCCACCCCCGCTCCATGCTCAGCGGAGGCCGGGTGCATTGTCACTGTGGCCGAGGCGTTCAGAGAACACCTGCCCAACGATCACACGGGGTCCCCAGCCTCACCTTTCACGATGCTGGAGAAGGTGGCCGAGTGCCGGGACACAAAGATCTTGAGCTGCTCATCCAGGCTGCAGATGCCAGGGTCAATGTCCCAAGACT